TAATTAGAAAATTTTGGGAATAAATTAAGTGAATGTTCAATAAAATAATTAAATCATGGGGATGTACTAAAATGTAGAGGATATTTGTTTGTCTAGAAAGTCTTAATAAACAAAGAAAGAAAAAAGAAATAGAATCTATTTGGTTTCAAGTCAAAGCTATAATACTTCTATTGGTTAATGAATATCTCCATCATCAGAATCTTCAATACGAACTGTACGGAACTGAAACGTGGAGAACTACTACATCCATCGTCAAGAAGGTACAAGTATTTATAAACAGTTGTCTACGCAAAATACTCAACATTCACTGGCCAGATACCATCAGCAACAGCGTTTTATGGGAGAAGACAAACCGGCTTCCTACTGAAGAGGAAATTAGGTAAAGACGTTGGAAGTGGGTAGGACATATATTAGGGAAATCACCAAACTGCATTACGAGGTAATCCTTAACTTGGAATCCTGAAGGGAAGCAGAAAAGTGAAAGGCCAAAGAACACATTATACCGGGAAATAGAAGCAGATATGAAAAGGATGAATGTTAACTGGAAAGAACTGGAAAGAATTACCCAGGACAGGATTGGATGGAGAATGCTGGTGTGCGGCGTATGCTCCTCGATGAGGGGTAACAGGCGTAAGTAAGTAAGTAACTAATATGTGATTATCAGAAGGGGGCTTGGTGGAGATTTTTGTAATTTTATATAGGTCCTTGGTTCGAAACTCGCGAGACGGAATCGTGGATACGCACTGCTGAGGAGCCCCACAATAGGACGAAACGGCCGTCCAGTGCTTCCAGGTTTTCCATAGTGGTCTAGCTTCAATTGACTCATAATTTCTACAAATAATATGTGATTAGTTGATAAGGGGAGATAAACTTAATTGTTTAAAACAAAAGACCAAATTTTAAATTAATCTTATGGTAAAGATGAACGCAGTTCTCTTTAACTTTTGTACGAAATTCACATATAATCGTTTAATGATCCCCCATTAAAAGACTAATATTTGAACGAAGAATATTCTTTTCGATAAATTCCCTCTTCAGGTTCTACAATTCATATATCCAAATTAATAAACCGAAAAAATGGCCAGGTTAAAGGCAAAGTACATCGTTTACAGTATGTGAATTTAGGATTGTCAAACCGAATAGAATAAAATTATTAATGTTGATATGACTCATATAGAATGTTAACACTTGAATCTGTATATATGTTAAGTGAAAATTTAAGATTTGGGATGAGGATGAAGAAACCGGAACTATGCGTACGGACGAAATATTTCTAACCCATGCTCCTCCGTTGGCCAACCACATGGTCAAGAGTAATCTTAGCTATTGAATGACCTAATTTGACTATGTACTTACGACCTTTCGTAGTTAAATTTAATTGTCTCTCTTATTTTTATTCACAAATCTTTGTGTTATTATTATTATTATTATTATTATTATTATTATTATTGATTAAACATCATTATTAATCTCCCCTGTACATGATTCATTCACTTCACATTGATCCCTCCTTATTACGTCTTACTAATTTTTCACATACTTTACTCTTCCACTTGATCGAATTGTAATTGCACCATCATCTCTCTCTCACTGTTGTTTGTTCGAATCTTCCCATTGATGTTTAGGACTGCAACTGATCAGTCTCTAATTGGCATATGTACATACTGAGCGTACTGCCTCGATATAGCCTTGATTAACATGCTTTAAATTCACATATCTTTGTATATTTATCAAAACGTTTAAAATGTTAGCAAATTATTACTATTTGCCACCATATAGTAAAGTTGATAGCGTTAAATGTCTTGGATTCTGAATTCCGTTTCATTGGGCTGATCGATATTATTTGTAAATTCTAACCCTAAACTAGTACTTTTGAAATAAACATTAAGTCATCAATACTATATTTTATGGACGAACTAATCTGTTTGCTCTTCTTGGGTATATCAGCTAAATTTGTTCATTCAATTGGTTACAGGGTATTTATGCATTATAACTGATGTCAGTGATGAAAATGCTGAATCTGAACTCCTAATTCATACCCTAAATAACAAAATGTAATTAAGAATAATGAAGGGACTTCTAACCATCTTCGATCATTTTAAGGTTTTGAGAAGACGGATTGTTATATCCTAGCGATGACATAAGTATGGGTAATTTCCGGGACCTATTAATGGACGATTATTCTATATATATTCTTATTGTATAACTATTAAGTAATTAGATTGTGTATATCTATATTCAACTTATTATAAACTTCGTTTTCACCTATGAATTATTATTATACGATTTACTGTCCTTAAATTATATTCAGTTTATTGATTATTGTATCCCACGTTCACAGCCATATTTGGTTTGATCTTGTACAAATATTATTTTCTATTTTATGGTGTGATGTGGTCTGTCTGGTATATAAACCGAGTATGTTTGAAATAAATAATTCGCATAGAGTCGCATAGCAGAAGCTGTAATTGGTATTTTTGGACTCATTTGGTCGGGCTAGGAGGACAAGAGACTGATAAGGACGCTAAACTGCTCATACCAGTCGAACGTCATTGATTTGGTACAGTGTTAAGATTAGACAAGATTGGTGGATAAATCACGTAATAAAAAGCCGGACATAAAATCAAAACGAATCGGCATACGGCCTTCTTATTTTATAATCATAACACGGATAATAGATATCCCCCAAATGCCCTGGTACGGCCGAGAGTGGGGAGAGTCTGCTCTTCCTCTCAAAGTGCTCTCACATCGCCACGCGAATATATAGCCTCTGCCAGGGAAGTCCTACTCACTGCCTTCTCGTGGCGGGGGTGTTGTTTACGAAAGTGAGAGGACGAAAAGCGAATGTCCGGTGCTTTAACCGGGTTGGTGGATGTGGAGGATCCACCTAGGGGAGTTGGAAAACCCTGATTCCAAACCAATGGTGCACATGGGCTCCAGTATCCTGATGGAACGAATGGCGAATGAACCTGTTGTTGGTCAACGGCCACCATGGGACTGCATCTCCTCACGATGCTCCACTGCCTTGTGGACTAGACCTTTAGGTCAAAGGCTCCGGGTGTGGCCCCTTAAGAAAACCGGATGCTTCGATCTGGGAACCTGGGCAGTATCACAGCCCTCACACAAATCGAATGAGATTTGTGAGGCGCATATTTATCTGGTTCTTTTTTGTACCAATATTTATGTGTTTAAATAAATAAGATATCCATAAAGACGAATTTCTATTTCGTCTTTATTCCCAATTTACAAGCATAGTGATCTATAGAAAACTTTAATAAACTTAATATAACTATGTTAAATCCATTGACAGTCTATGATATTATTCTTTTCATTGCCACAAACTATCCATTTACTATTACAGTTTTCTAATGAGTAAGAACTGACTTAGAAATTTGTTCTGATGTCATGGTTTATTGAATCTATTGACATAATCCATTAGTCTAATGTTTAATCTTACTGATCTAAATAATCCAATATTCTAATGTTGTATGAACTCGTAGACATAAATCAATTGCCTTTCCCATTATGATAGATAATTTTATTACTTACTACTTGTCATATTGAATTGAGAATTTGCAGATATTTTAAGGATGAATCTTTAAAATTCTTACATAGAAAATTTGATGCTGACTGGATGAATATTATCTACTATTTATTTTAATAGTTGAGATCATGAATCAATTGTAGCTAGACCACCTTTGAAAACCTGGAATCACTGGACGGCCATTTCGTCCTATTGTAGGACTCCTCAGCAGTGCACATCCACGATCCCGTTTCGCGAGATTCGAACTCAGGACCTATCAGTCTCGCGCGCGAACGCTTAACCACTAGACCACTAAGCCGACATCCGACAGTGTTAATGTCTAACTTCAAACGATCCACGAAAAAACATATGCTCACTAATGATTGGCTCCATGAGGTATTTCCTGAATCTTGGATACGCACTGCCGAGGAGTTCCACAATAGGACGAAATGGCCGTGCAGTGCTTCCAGGTTTTCCATGGTGATCTAGCTTCAATTAACTCATGATCTCAACTATTAAAATTACTAAAATTATTAAAGTTACTATATTATCCACAAAACCCCTTCTGATACTATTTATTTGTCGACAAATTTGTTTCAGTTAATGATACCTACAATATTCAGTTCCAAAGCGGTGATTAAACATTTCAATCATAAGTTTTGAGCTATTTTTTCTCTCTGTTTCACATATTTATATATTGCTAAATTTGACTGTCAATTTTATTACCCAGTTCAGGTTCAAAGTGTTAACTAATAAGTTTCAATCAATCAAAGAGTTTCTGATTGTTGGTCAGTATACATGTTATACATTATTAAGCACCTCATCTAGAAATAATACTTTAATTAGAATAGTTGTATACCAAGAAAAGTTTGGTTTTGAAGCCAAAAGATGTAATTAATTCACGAAACCCATCTATATGGTAAGCAAATGCAATCCTTAAGATATCAGAGATTAGTAGTTGATGTTCATGAATATTACAGTAGGTGGGAACATTTTCGGGTGTTTCATAGTTTACATGACGAACTGATCTTAGATAGATAACCATTGGAAGACAGGAATTAGTAAACAGAATTTTCGTCTCAGTACTGTACATCCACGTTCCAGACGTTTATTGAACCTAGGACATATATATATGCCTTAGAAATCACTTGACCTTCAGACCACTGATTACACAATCAATGGCTTACATTCCTATCTTCCTAATATTGTCGAACTATCTTCGAATACCACTTATTGGTTTGGTTTTTGGTTTCATGTTCCTTTCACTATACTGTTGGGTTTTTCGTAGCCGCTTAGTACCATCATTTAAAACAAACTTTTTTTTCAGAGTAGTATCAATAATTGCTGAAAGCTCAAAAAATAGTAGGCTTATTTGTACCCTGAATGTACCTATTATTCTGAAATATTTAGTTGATGGAATGTATACACAATTATAGTCTATTCCTTTGATTTCCATTTATCTAATTACATATTTTAGAAGTTGTACTGAGAAATTCTCTGAAGATGATTTAAACAATCAAAAAAAGAATCTTCAACAATGTCATCTAACTAATTGTACATCTGGTCTATCAAATACAACAACAGATACATTAAGAAAAACTATACAATCACAAACTGTTAGTCATAATAGCACAATGAATCATCAATTATCAGATGAAATAACTGAAAAAGAAGCTCATGTAAATTATTTGGTTACTTTATTTCAAGCATTAAAAAGTTCTGGTGTACAAGCGGATTCTTTCAAAGAAGCATTTGAACGTATTGATCTACCAGTAACGAATTCAAAATTATTACCGAATTCAATTAATCTACGTAAGTTTTTGAAAGTGTTTTCTTGTTTCATTTTTAATTATTTAATCTTTGGGAAAAGGGGTTCAAACTTTGAGTTGCTTATGTTATGTAAGTAAAAGAAAACGTTTTCAGGCAAATTGTCGAACATCCTTTTTTGAATTCTCAAAGTTGTCTTATATGATTGTACATATATGCACTGATGTTGATGGACTATTAATAGGCAGATAAATATTGATTGCCTGTGCTCACATTCTATCTCGAGGTCGAATAACAGGTAAGAAACTATAAACAAGACATTCCATTAGAGGAAGTTGGTCAGACATTTACTGAGATTCGCAGTCTACTTGTCCATCCTGGTTACCTCAGTCTTCTCATTTTCAATAATGGGTTCGGTATATCGCTGAAAGTGTATGTCGTAACCTAACTGGACCACAGAACATAAAAATTTATCTTAACGTATGCGTTTTATTTAGTGATTAGTAAGGTATTTAAAAGAATCCTCGGAAGTATAGAAGAATATTTCGAAATTATGATAGACTACCTAAAAGGTACTTACATTGCTACGCGTCATTCAATGACATATAATATAACATTTGATCAATAGGTAAAGAAGTAAAACATTGTCATTTTACGAAAGTAGGAGTTCGTCGTAAACTAAGAGCATCTTCAGTTTGCATGACGTTGTATTATTCAGTTTAAATGTGTCTTAATGTCTATATTATTGCTGTTATTATTGTAATCGTTATTTAATCGAAAACAGGTATAATTCCTCACCACAATCATCTAAGATTTATGGTGTTCTTAACGTTATTAGTATCGTAGTAAATGAGAACACAGGTGAGGACAACCGTTTATGTATTTAATACAAATTACAAAGTTGTCTGATGAAATAGAAAAACCATACTCTTATACTTCATTTGCAAAATGTTCATTAATTGTCTCACGCTTCATTGTTCCTGGATTTCCACACTAATTGCTTTCTGTTTCTGTTCTTCCCTTCTCGATCTTCTCAGTCTTCCGCTGTCAGATATTCTATTCCTGCCTCACGATATATACTACTTATGTCGATACAACTAGCCCACACCATAGCACAAGAAGTTAGCGGAGCTTACCTAATTTCTTAGTTTATATCACAGGCTGAACTTAATTAGAGAACCGTGAAAAGACTTGAAAACTTGACACCTGTTTGATCCTAATGTAAAACTTTAGTAGCAAGCATTTGTGATCCCTTCTGAAATCGAACTTAAACTGTAATAAGTTTATAACGATTAAAACATAAAATTTGAAACATTATCTACAAAACCTTTTACAATAAAACAATTATTTCAGTAAATTTATTAATCATTTTTTACTTATTTTACATTTTATATAGTTGAAATCATGAGTCAATTGAAGCTAGATCACCATGGAAAACCTAGAAGCACTGGAAGGCCGTTTCGTCCTATCGTGGGACTCCTCAGCAGTGCGCAGTGCTTACGTTTTTGGATTGGTTGAAGTTAGACATTAACATCGTTTGATGTCTAGCGGTTAGGCACTCGCGCGCGAGACTAATAGGTCCCGAGTTCGAATCTCGCGAGGCGAGATCGTGGATGCTCACCGTTGAGCAGTCCCACAATAGGACAAAACAGCCATCCAGTTCTTCTAGGTTTTCCATGATGGTCTAGCTTCAATTAACTCATGATTTCAACTATATAAAATTACTAAAATCTCCACAAAACCCCCTTCTGATTATTTTACATTATTGATGATTGAACAATAACAAATAAGAACAATAATGAAATACAAAATATGACAGTTTTCAAAAGTTTGTTCCTTTTTCGTGTGTGTGTGTGTGTATGTGTACATTTATACAAAAATATTAAATATATTACTATTTCATGATTATATCCCCTTTTTTTAAAAACGTTCAGTTAGTGATTTTCGACAATGTCACAAATGATTTTTATGGTTCAATACAAAAATAGCAACAAACAAATAAACAAATAAAATCAGTTAGAAACTGATCTAGTAATGTGTAATCTATATTCATCATATTGTATTAAAATGGTTTAAAAAAAGAAAAGAGAATCAATCAAGTTTAGACAAACAAACTACTCTGAAAGTCAATTTATCGAAAAACATTTAATCATCAAAAAGATAGATTTTTACCACAAATTGAAATCAAGTAGAGAATTTTATAGTTGAATTCATGAATCCTGGGTTCGAATCTCGTGAAGGGAGGTCGTGGATACGCTCTGTTGAGGAGTCCCACAATACGATGAAGCGACCGTTCAGTGTTTCCAGGTTTTCCATGGTGGTCTTGCTTCAATTGACTCATGATTTTAACTATATAAAATTACTAAAATCTCCACAAAACCCTCTTCTGATAAAAATCATTTTTGTTGTTAATCAAGAGATAAATCAGAAAAAACTTTAATAGTAGTAAAAATTAAGAGATGATAAAATTTCAGGAAACTTTTCTACACTGTTTTGAAATGTATGTAGAGAAATAAACTTTGAAGCTGAGATTTTCAAAATGTTAAGAGATCTCTAATTAATAATCATGAATAATGCACTGCTGAAATTATTTTACAAATCACGTTACTATAGGTTTACATTAACCTGTATTGTGTTCATTTTGAATTATTTGTTTGTATTTCCCAATTGGTGTTTAGGACTGCAATTGATCAGTCTGTTATTGCTATATCGGCATCCTCTGTGGATTGTTTCGATATTGCCTTAAATCATAAGCGTTATAAGCAATGATGGATGGTGAATTTAAACTTCATCCCATTGCACAAGCAAGTGGCTATTAGGACTCAGTAGCTAAGTGAATAACGTGATGGTGTTGGAAGCGAATGATACTGGGTTCGAGTCCCAGAGTGAGCATCAACACTGAGATGCAGGTACATCCAGTTGACGAGTCCCAAATAGGACGAGACGCGCATCCTGGATTCCACAGTTACCCACCATCCATCTTTGCTTATAACCTGTATTGTGGTTGACAAGCCCTCAAATTTTACTTGATCTTTTTTTTTATTTGACTGACTTATCCGTGTAAATTAGCTGTTTTGTTAAGATTCATGTGAACAGTATTTTCTTGGAAATGTTCATCCTTGTTATGGTCCTAACTAAAGAAATTAAACAGTTATTTTGAAAAATTATCTTTCTGCCTTCAATATTGAGTACGTATAATGTTCTATGTATGTATTTTATTGTTTAGAATCCATGTGAACAATGTGATCCTAAGCAGTGTTAATGGTGTAGGAGCGATTGTCACTTTTTAGTTGTTTACATTATGAAAGGATATTTCTTTTCACGGTATTTGAAAAAAGAAATTAGTTTATGGGTGAATTCAACGGTTTTTGAAGTTTGACTACATATCATCAGACACAAATACTTGAGGTCGGTCACACACAATCTGCTTATGAATAGTTCTCGATGAGTTTGCTCTGCACTTTTAAGGTTTTATAGTAGGCAATGGGAGTTCGTGGTGTTAAATGAAGCGTATTATTAGGCCTGATCTTTGATAACCATGATCTTTCTCTGTGAAAGAGCAGCGTCGCCGCAAATACGAGTTATCTGAGAATAACTCTGTACGATACCGACTTCAGATCATGAGTTTGCTGCTTTTAACCTTAATACCCCACAACCAACCTGCTTGGAATGTAGAACCTGTAGTAACTAGTTTTTTTTTAGCTAGTATAAGTTAATTGAATCATCACAACGTAAACGTTTGATCACCACGTCAAGGAAGTAGCTAAAATCGGGTTTGATATCTATAAATTACATTAAATCCACTAATATATTGTTATTCGGACTCAGCTTCTAATATCTTCAATACATTTTAGTGTGCATAGATCAACATATTTATCATAGTAACTTAGTTTCATTTCCTTGTTATGTTGTTACTTATTTCCAAAAATTCATTGCCGTATATTCGTTTGTATGAACTAGATCTCTTCAATATATCCTTCGAACTCATTCTAATATTTTCATTTCTTTTCTTTTTCTCTTCTTCACATTTTCGATACTTTTGCGTTTCCATTTTAATTGATTTAATCTAATGCGTAGTTTATACTCCAACTCTCTATCTATTTATCATTGAATATAATTAGGCATTAAATAACATATTCTTTTCGTAATGCTCTTTAATCATATTCTGTTCACTGTAATCGCTGATGTGAATAAGTCTGTTTATATATATATATATATATATATATATATATATATATATATATATATATATATATATATATATATATATATATATAAGTTACTTACGCCTGTTACTTCCAACGGGGCATAGGCTGCCGACCAGTATTCTCCAACCCACTCTGTCCTGGGCTTTTCTTTCTAGTTCCATCCAATTTTGTTCATTCTTCTCATGTCTGTCTCAATTTCTCGGCGTAATGTGTTCTTTGGTCTCCCTCGTATCCTTTTATATATATGCATATATATAAATCTATTCATCATATATTGGTCACTTTACTACATTATCTTATCTATCAGTAGTATATTCTTTTGATTACTCCTTCTTTTTTTCTATGAATAGATGATAAAAAACAAACTTTATTAAAGACAAAACTTTATCAAGTTGATGAAATACGTAAATCAATAAAATCATTTTACCAATTAATCAATGAATTCAATCGAAAATTTACATTAGATATAAATAATTGTAATAAAATTGTTACAGTAAGTTTTAATGATTATTATCAATAATGATTAATTGATTGATTTAATTGATTGTTAAAAGCGAATAATAATAATAATTAATATTATATCATATTATCATATTATATTATATCAAATGCTCACCAATGACTGAATTGAAGAGATATTTCGTGGAGTTCTAGTGAGAAGCAGTGACCAGTGGAGTTGAAGCCACGTCTGTTGTGAGATGTCAACTGACTGAAGACAATTGCTGAACGGTTGCTCAATTCCGTGAGTTAGACATTAACACCGTTGAATGCCGACCAACTCAGTGGTCTAGTGGTTAAGCGCTGGCGCGCAAGACTGATAGGTCCTGTGTTCGAATCTCGCTCGAGAGGCGGGATCGTGGATGTGCAATGCTGACGAGTCCCATAATAGAACGAAACGGTCACCCAGTGCTTCCAGGTTTTCCATGGTGGTCTAGCTTCAATTGACTCACGCTTTCAACTAATTAGAAGTTATATTGAATCAATTATATTATGAAATTTAGTCACTGAAACGATCTTGAGTTGATATGCTTGAGCTTATAATTGACTTGATATATAAACTCTTATTAGTGCGTATGTAATGAATAGGAACACGAGTGGGGACAATCGAATATATTTAAGCACAAATTACAGACTATCTCACTAAATTCTGATAACCATACAGTAAACAGTTAATTTGCAAATTAACAACCAATTGTCTCGATCTTCACTGTTTCTTCTGTAAATGTCAGTTCATCTTCTCTAATTTCATTGTTCGTGCATTTTCCTACCAATTGTGCTTCATTTCAGTTCTTTCCTTATCGGCCTTCTGCCAAAATACATTCTGTGTCTGACCATCGCCGTATACTACTTATATAGGTATAAGTAGACCACACTACACTATATAGCGTGAATAGTAGATTAGTGAACAAGAGTTGATATTCATTCCATTTCATTGAATAACCAATATATTTCTAAAGAAAAACAATTCTGCTCTATACTTTATTATCTTTTTGTAACAATTAAAATCCAATTTCGTTTTTCATAGTTGAAATCATGAGTCAATTGAAGTTAAACCACCAGGGAAAACCTGGAAGCACTGGACGGCCGTTTCGTCCTATTATGGGACTCCTCAGCAGTGCGTATCCACGATCCCGCACTCGCGAGATTCGTTTTTATATACTTTTGCATCTGTTCTTTTTATTCAAATGGAAAAAAAATTTCCTAAAACTTTTTTCAATTTTCGATTTTTTCTATACTTAGAAATTATCCAATCAACAAACATCAGTATATCATACTATACTTGATCCAAAATTAGAAATGATTCAAAATGAACGAAGAAATTTAGATAGATCATTACAAGAAATGTATAAAATTAATACTTTATTAAGTGAACAATTACATGATCTTGAATGTGTTATTGAACAAACTGGTAATGATGTATTACAACATCGTTGTCGTATCAATTTACCATATGTACAAACATTAGAGAATAGATTGGATTCAATTAATTCAACTGTTAGTTTAGCATGTGGTAAGTAATTGAGTTCATATGTAAATGTGTGGTTATGTATTCACTCATTATATCTGGAAGTTGGTCTTTGAATGTTTTTATGTATAATCTGAACATTCTGTTTCCAAGTCATTAAATGGTGAGTTTTGTCAATTTGATGTTCAGTAACGCAAGAATAGAAACTTAATAGTTTGCTCATAATCATAGATTGATGTTGACAATGCAGGTTAACAGACATAAGAATATCATATCATACTCATAGTTATGCGCTAATTGGTCCTACAATGAACCCTTTGAACTTACAGCGATTATAATTATGAGGTAATGCATTTGGTAGTTCATCTGTATGCGGATACGATATTACCGAATGGATTGATATGAATAACGTAAGTCTATAGTAACTGTGAATTCACCTCCTACTCATTACTTCACGTTTCAGTGATCTACAGGAATACTGCAAGACACTATCTGATTTATAACTGCATGGTTCTTTTTTAATGAAATCAATCTACACTTTTAATCAACTTCAATCATATTCTAGTGTTCATTAACATTATATAAGAAACTTATCTAAATCGATTGTATCATTAAACTAATTATTGGATGATTATGGAAGCTCGACTTTTAGACAATATATTAGATAAACTTATTATTATTTGGCTATTTGAAGAGAGTTTCTGTACCGTTCTATGGACTGGGACGGTAAGAGATAGAGACCAATCAGAAAGGATTATTTCTTGACTCAGAGTGTATTTAATATCTCAGTCAATATCAATAACCAACCATGAAGTTAACCCGTCAGGTTATGATGGTTTCTTTCATATGACATTACCTATTGCTTTTTCAATCTCTCTAGTGGCAGTTTCACATTCATGAAATTTAGAAATTTCAGACAACTGGAGAGAGGATTTAAAGACCGGTTGTACTATTACTCAATATTTTCCATAAACTGTTTAAGTAACCTGGCTTGAGAGGGCATTAAGGTTCTATCATTTTCTGAAATAATCCTACTTATAGCCAAATAGTGCGTTTATTAATGTTTCATATCTGACCTAACTGGTAATCCAAATCTTCCACTTGGAATGATCAACCTTCTTTATAATGTAACAATACAAATGATTATCACACTTGAAAAAACTCCGTTGTTGCTTTAATTATAAAAAAATATTGATTGTACTTGATACATTTGAGATTGATGATAATAATACCTTAACCATATATCAATATCTGTTCATCTCCTTACCATTCCAATTCCATTATAACTGTTTGCAAAGATCAGATTATAGGTTAATAGTTTCAAACCTTGCAACTATAGGTTCTTTTAACTAAAACGAATTACAATAGATTATAAATAAACACACACACCAGTTATATTTCATTAAAATTTTTGGTCTAGTGGTTAAGCGCTCTGGCACGAGACTGGTAGGTCCTGGGTTCGAATCTTGTGAGGTGGGATCGTGGATATGCACTGCTGAGGAGTCCCACAATAGAAAGAAGCAGCCACCCAGTACTTCGGGTTTTTCATAGTGGTTTAGCTTCAATCGACTCATGATTTCAACTATGAAAATACTAAAATTTCCACAAAACCCCTTCTGTTAAATATTAGTTTGTAGCTGTAGTGTATTGATAAATGTGAGGGAGAATATTTTAGTTTTACCAGGATATTTTTTCCCTATTGTTATATCGATTGGGTGTGCGTGCATGCCCTATTTGATATATGAACGTGGTAAGACCGCCTATCAGAGAGCAGTGAATTTATTCGTCGCCCAATGATAGACAAAAGCCGTATGAGCAGTCTTGAGTACTTGTCAGTCCTGCTATCAGCCTAGCTCAGCCACTCAAGTCCAGAACACCAATAACAGCCTCTGCAATTTGAATCATTATTCTCAAACATACTGTGTTTATATACCAACCAAACAGACCACATCGTACCATAAAATAGAAAATAATATTTGTACAAGATGTAGCCAAATGTGGCTGTGAATAGTGGGAACTGTAATTAATGAACTATGGATAACACAAGAATGGTAAATCGCATAATAATAATCTATAGATCAAAATGAAGCTTATAATAAAAAGAACACGAATACGAATAGTTAAGTTACTTTACAATTATACAATAGGAAATATACATATCATACTGGTATTAGATGGTGGATGGAGGTGGTCAACAGGAAAGCCTGGATCCGGGATTCGTGATACTTGGCACTCGTCAGCAAGGTGTACCTGTAATCTTGAGGGAACTGATGCTCCCTGACGGATTCGATCCCGTGTCACTCAGCTTCACAGTCAGAGACCGACCTCACGTAGGACTCGGATGTAATCTCGATTGATTGATCACTGGGTGGTGATCAATGTCATATATGTCAAGTCCTTCTTAGTGCTGATCAAATTGAAGCTGAGTGGGACGGGATCGAATCCGTCAGAGAGCACCAGTTCCCTCAAGATTACAGGTACACCTTGCTGACGAGTGCCAAGTAGCACAAATCCCGGGTTCAGGGTTTCCTGTTGACCACCTCCAACCACCATCTTATCTCAACATAGTGCTTGCAGTGTCGAGCCACCTAGACTAGTAGCCACATTGCAACTTGATCGATAGCATTTGATCAGCACTAAGAAGGACTTAACACGCATGACATTGATCACCACCCAGTGATCAATCAATCTGGATATCATATTGGTCAATAAATAATTCTCATAGTCACCATTCATAAATCTCCACGGGATATAACACTATAAATGTAATATAATGCATTATACAATTAGCTTTAACTTACAATCTATCTTCACCTAGATACTTTCAAAGAATCCCTATTAATAATAAAAGTAGAACATCAATTCTCCTAGTCTTCATTATTCACTTATCTACATAAATATATATATTTATGATTAATTAATTAAATGTTATTCGCAAAGCAATAACCATTTGACCTTATGGTAAAGTACTTTATATGTATAATGATGTTATTGTTAATAAGAATTGTATTGTGCATATTTCATCTATGGTATAATAGGTCATTATCCAGAAATTCAACAACTATTGAATAATCGTGAAGAAATGGAAGTAAAAGCTATTGAAATTCAAAAAAGGTAAATATCATTCAATTAGTATTGTTTGTTTGAATCTTCCCATTGATGTTTTAGGACTGCAACTGGTCAGTCTCTAATTGGCATTTGTGCATACTGTGTGCGTATTGCCTCGATATAGCCTTAATTCACAAGCATTGTAAGCAAAAACGGATAGTGGCTATCAGTGGAATCCAGTTTGACGCACGTTTTGTCCTATTTGAGACTCGTCAACTGGATGTACCTGCATCTCAGAGTTGATGTTCACTCTGGGACTCAAACCCAATACCTTTCGCGTCAAACGTCATCACGTTATCCACTCAGCTACTGAGTCTTGATGCCATTGTTCATTTTATAATTGGTTAGTCAAGTAATGATCAATATGTATATATGGTTCATTTGTACTCATAGAATCATTTCGATCAAATTACAAAATGGCTATTAATCTGAGCGATTCGAAATGGTGTGCATTATATTGAGATGTTAGGTGGTTGGAAGTAAACAGCAAGAGATTCCATCTGATATAAGTTTTGTAGTAGTTTGCATTCGTCAGCAAGACTTATTGGCCTTTCTGAAAGAATCTATCCAACCCATGAAAGTTCAACCTGCATCACTTATCTATTTTGTCTGTTTATTCAAAGAATACCTAAAATTGTACCTAATTTTTAAGTTCTTACGAAAAATAACATACACCATTTGTTCGATCATTAATAATTTCCAGGGACCTAATAAAATAAACTTTAATTCGAATCTTTGAATAATTTTATATGTTACTGTAAGCGCATTACTATTAAGTCACTGAGTCAGAATTCGCTGATTGACTTTATGATATATATAACGAATTAGTTTTTGCGTATTCTTTGATTTTCAGTGTTTTTTCAATTAATGATGGGTTTTCGATGGAAAGTCTTCCTAAGATATTCAAGAGTTCACATCAAGTTACCCTAACTTAAAGTATTCAAAACCCTATTCATGAACAAGACGACACACTATTCTTCTTGGAACTCATTATTGTCCACTACTAAATAACATATTAAGATATTTCTTAGTATAGGAGGAATGTATAGCAAAATGACTTATCAGCACTACAAATCAAACTATGTTACTCTCTCTCTCTCTCGCTCTATCTGGCTAAAGTTAAATAAAGTCTAATTTCGTCAAAAATTATCCGAATGCATAATAGTAGATATATAGTCAAAGAGACGGGTCACTTTCAGTTCTGAATATCAATAACGGGAAATCATAAAACACTCAATAATATCTTCTATCCACTGAACAAGTTAGTGGCTATTTGAACCGAATAGCTTAGTGAATAATCCATTAGTGTTTGAAACGAAAGATACTCGACTAAATTCTGTACTCTAGGATGCAGGTACATTAATCTTACGAGCCAATAATGGGAAAAAACACGAGTACCGGATTCCCCTGCTAGGGATATAGGAAATATACTAAAACTTATGACATTACGCTCTATCGAGGTAGTCTACTTAAGATAAACCTTTGGCAATAGCGACTGACCAATCACTGTCTTGGATAATCATAACGAGGAATTACAAGCCTATAAATGTAGACATTTCTAGTTATTCAATTGTTAAAATCTTTAGATATAGACGAAGTACTAATGGCGCTGATGATTCACAACTAGTTATTACTTACTTATTTAGTCCATAAAATATTGATTTCTTCTTTACGATACTCTTTTTTTATGTTTATAGTGTACTTGATGATCAGTTATATCAATTGAAGGATGTAAATGAAAAATGTAAACGTATTAAAGGCACAATATTAACTTTAAAACGGTAATAAATAATATATATTGTATTTTGTATGTATATTTTAACGTTCTCCACAATTATTCTTCTATATATTATAATGGTTGTAAAGTTTATAAAAAGTATTATGACTTTAGAGTTGTGTAATCAAGTGACATGCTTGTATTCAATTGTCCTACTAACCGGTTACAAGCTAGACAATGATCAGAAAATGAGTAGATTGGGATAAAGTATGAAAGGGAAATATATATAGTGATGAAGATGATGAGCGATGATAGATCTGTCTGTCGACACTCACTAACCAATCCGAGTCTACTTCCACCAGTTATACCAGGAAGATTAACTTTGGTAATAAAATACAGAGTATTATTAGTGTTCAGTAAGTGGATATCTTTATTTCATACATTTGATTTTCACAAAAGCGAAAACACAGTTATTGTGACTATCATTATTATTATTACTTGACAGCTTTTATTGTTTTGTACTTGAAACGATTGAATTTCTTTTATTGGACGGACCTATTTGGTATCAGATTAACCATACTTTTTTCATCGTTGAATAAAATTGTGACATCTAGCATGTTCAGGGATACTACCCCTAACTCAGGGTCTGGAAGGTCGTGACTATGAACATTTCGCTAATACAATAAAAATTATCTTGGTGGTCTTGTATTAGTATTCCGACACCAGACAATGGGTTTTAAACGTTCTTTATGCCCTAACGCTTCAAGCTGGTCTGTTTTGCTTACTACTCTATATACGTGCATAATTGATTTACACGATCACTGATCGGAATAATTATACATGTGTAGTGGATGTCGAGTCGTGGACGGACTATGATCACCACTACTATTCGATTACGCGTACAAATATGACTTGGTTCCCTTGATAGCCCGTAAATCAGAAGGCTTTACAAGTCCAGATCAATTGTATTTATTGGCGATCTCGTGGTATCGAAATAATACCGAGACGTGCCAAAGAGTACAAGCGAATAAGCAGTGCGTGAGCAAGCTCGAACCAAACAAGGCGGAGAGCGGAAGCAGAAGTGAAACTGATACAGTTAAACAAATACAGTAAAACAATCTCTGGTACAATTTGTTACAATAATAATAATTGTTTCTATTATTCCAATCGTGTTCTTATCGAGACTGGCCGGTCACTACAGGAGCCCCCCGCTAGAAAGGGTTTACACTTTCGATATGTAGCGGTTTCGTTCGTGGGACTGATCGCGAAACGTGCAATTGTAGGACGAAGGCGTTGGCAGAACAGGAAGTGATCGTTGATCCTCGAGTTGCCACCAAAAGTCTTTGACGTAGAATGGTACCAGAAGGAACGTACTGTGTTGATTGTTTGGATTAGCATGCTACACCAGAATGGTTTGTATCCAGAATCTGAAAGTTGCGTTCGTAGAGGTCCGGACCAGAAACGCTGCAGACGTAGGACGAAACCAGATTGAGCCAAGGAACCAGATGTGACCAGGATAACCATGTTCGGGACCAAATGTGTACCATACGTATTTGGAGCCAGAGAGGTCGACTGAGTGCGTTGACTAGAGCGTGGGTGATCAGGCCAGCTTTCGCCAAAGTTGACTGAAATCGACGATACCGTAACAGCGATGGTCGGAAGCGTAGGCTCGGGGGAAAAAAATTAGAGAAAAAGAGAAAAGTGTAGCATTCGTGTAGTATAGGGTTAAGGTCCTATACTGTATCCGCTGCTGGTTATGAGGTTAGTCGCGAAAGCGTACGCGTAAGCGTACTCGGCGACCGGAACGTGAGACGGTAGTCTCGTTCGAACCTCGTGAGCCTGCAATCTCATCCACAGTCAAGGGCGGTGTGGTCTGCTGGTCTGGACGTGAGACGGAAGTCTCGTCAGTAGACGGGGCAGATGACAAGTGCTGTTGACTGGGACGTGAGAATGAGGTCTCAGGTGCATCTAGCGTGGGATCCGAAGTAGATGTGGAGATCCCGCTAGAAGCTTTGATGGGTTTAGCATTGGGTCTCGGCTTATCAGGTAGGGCACTGTCATCGACGTGTGCTGGCTTGAGACGATCAATGCTGACGATTTCGACACGGCCATGTCGATCAACCTTGAAGGTCTTTTCGTGACGGGAAATCACGTGAAAAGGTCCTTCGTAAGGCTGTTGTAGAGGTTTGTGTACCGAATCTACTCGTATGAAAACATGTGAACAGGTAGATAACTCTCGAGGGAGAGCGACCTGTCGATGTTGTATACGAGTTGACACCGGAGTCAGTGTTCGCATGAATGCAGACAGTCGTTGGACGTAGTCTGATTCGCCGAACTTAGTGCTGCTCCGTGGTGTGAAAAATTCCCCAGGCAGACGCAATGTCGTGCCGTAAACAAGTTCAGCGGCGGAACATTGAATATCTGCCTTTAGACTCGTTCTGATTCCCAGGAGGACGAGCGGCAGGGTTTCGTACCAATTGTTGTTTTCGTGTGCTCGAAGAGCACTTTTAAGTTGGCGATGAAACCGTTCAACTAAACCGTTTGATGCTGGATGGTAGGCGGTAGTGCGTATGCGTTCCGTACCAAGCAGCCGTGTTAGTGAGGAGAATAATGCGGACTCAAATTGTTGTCCTCGGTCAGTCGTGACAGTCGAGGGACAACCGTACAGAGCTATCCATCGTTCTACGAAGCGGTGAGCAACTGTCTCCGCCGTAATAGACGTGATGGGAATAGCTTCGGGCCATCTTGTGAAACGATCAATGCACGTGAGTATGTGATCATACCCGTGCGATGGTTGTAATGGTCCTACAATGTCTATGTGAACGTGATCGAAGCGAGCATCAGGTGTAGCGAAAGTGCCAATAGGGGCAGCTACGTGCCTGTGCACTTTTGATCGTTGACATTGTAAGCATTGCTTTACCCACATACGGACATCTTTATTCATGGACGGCCAGACGTATCGTGCAGCGATGAGGCGTAAAGTGGCTGCGATACCAGGATGAGATAAACCATGAAGGGCATCAAAGACGAGACGGCGATAAGCGGAGGGTACGATGGGTCGAGGGAGGCCCGTAGAAGTATCACATAGGATAGTACCTGAGCTAGTAGCTAGGGGTACTTCCCGACACTGAAGGGACGTAGACTGTTGTGCTTCCGTGCATGAAGTATCGTTTGCTTGGGCGGCGGCCATAGCAGGTAGGTCAAGCACTGGCAAAGTAATTGCATTAAGTTGGATACGTGATAAAGCATCAGCAACACAGTTCGACTCGCCTTTGACGTGACGAAAGTCTGTCGTGAACTGGGAGATATAGTCTAAATGTCTGCACTCTCGTGGTGAGTAGCGGTCAGACTTGGTATGCAGAGCATACGTCAAGGGCTTCTGGTCGATGAATAAGATGAAATTACGACCTTCTACAGCGTGCCGGAAATGTTTGATGGCGCGGTAGGCTGCTAGCAGTTCGCGACCAAAAGCGCTATATCTCGTTTCCGTGGGAGTGAGGCGTCGTGAGAAAACTTCGAGGGGCTGCCAACTACCGGAGATATTCTGTTGCATAACGGCTCCTAAGGCGAAATCCGATGCATCAACCGCTATACTAAGCGTGGCTGATGGGTCAGGATGCACGAGAAGTGTGGCTTGAGCTAGGGCCGTTTTGATATCTGAAAATGCAGTACGTGCGGCGTCGTTCCATTCCAGTTTGCGTGGATTACCGCGAAGTAAAACGGTTAACGGTCGTAACTGTTCTGCCGCGTGCGAAATGAAGCGTCGGTAGAAGTTGACCAAACCGAGAAATGCCTTCAGTTCCTTGAGTGTGGACGGTACAGTGTACTCCATTATAGTACGTACTTTATCCTCGCAAGGTAGAATACCCTCATGCTTAATAACATGACCTAAGAATTTTATTTCCTTCTTCCCGAGTTCACACTTGTCGGGGTTGACTATTATTCCATTATCCGAAAGGCGCTGGAATAGTAGCGTCAGGTGTTGATAATGTTCATCTACGTTTGATGATGCGATTAGCATGTCATCAATATAGACGTGAACAAAATCTAGGTCTCGTACAATGCTATCGATAAACCTTTGGAAAGTTTGAGCAGCATTCCGTAATCCAAATGGCATTCGTAGGAACTCAAATAAACCGAAAGGAGTCGTGATGGCAGTTTTCTCTATATCTTCAAGAGCGACTGGGATCTGATGATATGCTCGTACCAGATCGATCTTGGAAAAAATTGTCGTGCCCTTGAGTGATGCCGTGATGTCATGTATGTGGGGGATGGGATAGCTATCGAAACGTGTAGCTGCGTTTAACGCTCGGTAGTCTCCGCATGGTCTCCAACTAACCCCATCCTTTTTTCGAACCATGTGGAGAGGTGAGGCCCAAGGACTGTGAGAAGGACGAATAATACCAGTAGCTAGTAAATTGTCGAACTCACGTTTAGCGAAAGCTAATTTGTCCGGTGCCAGTCGGCGAGGTCTTGCCGTGACTGGTGGTCCGCGGGTGACTATGTGGTGTACCACACGATTGGTCACCAATGGAGTCTCCTCGAAAGGTTTAGTTAATTTGGGGAATTTCTGAAATAAAACGTGGAATAAATCGTCACGCGAATGAAATACACCTGTGATTCGGTACGCGTTTGTGTGGGCTTTAGAGCCCATAAAGTTGCTGTTCGACGAAGTATCAATTAGCTGCAGCCTACGTGAATCGACTAGCAATTCATAGTGCTGTAGGAAATCGATACCGAGTATAGCTGTGGGAACATCGGCAATGATGAACGTCCACAGATACTGTCGTCGGTTGCTCAGGTTGACCGTAAGTTGTCGTGTACCATAGGTGGGAATGACTGAGCCATTCGCAGCGCGTAGTCGAAGCATAGTGGCTTGAGACTTACTGTTACCGATAGGTACGACAGAAACTTGGGCACCCGTATCCACAAGGTACCTAGCGTTGGTGCGATAATCGTGCACATAAAATAAACGGCCAACGTGAGGTGAAGTGCCGGCAAGTACGGCCGCATTTACTCGCCGGCTGAGAAGTTTCCCGCCTTGTATGAGCAGGGAGCTCGACAATGACGGGCACCGGCTCCGAAAGCACGGTGAAACCAGCACCAACCTGGACTCGCTTCCGAAACCGCCTTCTGGCGTGGCTTGGAAGATGCCCGCTTGGGGCGAGTCGTTACGGCCTTACGAGATTGTGACCTGGGTCGGGGGACGTAGGGGGCTGGCACATTTGCGCGGTCTCGGAAACTGAGACGAGTATGGATACATCTGTCCCTATCCCCATGAGCCGGAGGTCGTCTAGCATCGAGATCAATGTTAGAACGGGAAGTACTAGCAACCAAATAGTCGTCTTTGGTGTTAACTCGTGCTAGAATCTTATCTGCCATGAGGGCCACCTTGTTGAGCGGGGTGTCCTCGAGCAGGGCCGTAAGGGTTGGCTGGATACTGACTGGTAAGGCTTCGAGCCACAACTCTTTGACTATCTCAGAGTCTGCTGTCGAGTTTCCTGCAAGGGACTGCAGGCGCGTGAGGTGGTGGCTCGGCTTAGCATTACCCATAGGGTGACGTGCTAAGAGAGTCCTCAATCGTTCCTCTCTTGATGGGAGGAAATGTCGAAGGATAGCATCCTTAAGACGGTCGTAAACGTTCGGAACGTTCGGATTGAGGACAACCTCACGGACAGCGGTTAAGTGATCCCCGGGCAATGATTCCAAAGCGTAGGCGTACTTTTGCCTTTGATTGGTTATGCGGCGTATCTCAAATTGAGATTCCAGTGCCGCGAACCAGACTTCTGGATCATGAGGGATGAAAGGAACCGGTCGAAAACTGATAACCTGTATCTCGGAGTCTATCATATTTATGTTATTCTTATCGTTATCTACCATATTAAGTTGCCAAAATATTATATATTGAAAAATATCAATACGAATATTAGCAACAGATGTGGATAGATAAATAGACTCACCGGATTGATCTGGTTTGAAGAATTGGCCAAGTTTGACTTGTGCTCGATGGATTGGGTTACCAGCTGTATTGCGTGTTCCAAATACGGCTCACCAGTTGTAGTGGATGTCGAGTCGTGGACGGACTATGATCACCACTACTATTCGATTACGCGTACAAATATGACTTGGTTCCCTTGATAGCCCGTAAATCAGAAGGCTTTACAAGTCCAGATCAATTGTATTTATTGGCGATCTCGTGGTATCGAAATAATACCGAGACGTGCCAAAGAGTACAAGCGAATAAGCAGTGCGTGAGCAAGCTCGAACCAAACAAGGCGGAGAGCGGAAGCAGAAGTGAAACTGATACAGTTAAACAAATACAGTAAAACAATCTCTGGTACAATTGGTTACAATAATAATAATTGTTTCTATTATTCCAATCGTGTTCTTATCGAGACTGGCCGGTCACTACACATGTGATGTGAATGTGCATGTGAATGGTGCGAATGGTCCACCAGAGTCCTTGGTACCTTTGTGATTGCACCACAGGACCGAACTTTACTGTTCAGAGTGTAGCGCTGAAGCCCATAAATGTCTGGTTCTCCTGTGGGGCGGGATTGAGCTGTACTGTTCGGGTTGTCACGTGGAAGGCTGAATGGTGTCTGGTTCTTCTGAAAACCAATGCAAAATTACCCCGGCCCACAAGGGTATATTATATTACTAATCTAGCATTTTTGAGCATTTTTTCTATTCATTAATTGGATGAGCGCTGAATATTAAAGTATGATTTTTATTTCGATCTTTCATCTTAAGGCTATCTCGATATCTCTCCTATGAACATACTTCGGTAGAGCATCTCGACCTGACGGGTAAAAGTTAATAAATAAATTGGAATTTGGAGCTTGAAATGAAATTCTCGGTGAAAATTATACTCTCACATTCAGGGCTCATCTACTAAATGAATGATAAAACGTCCCAAAAGTCTTGATATTGCATAAATATAGAATAATGAAAACGGATACGTTACAAACACGTATTCTGTCGTTATATTCCAAAAACGTTTCCATTCAAATCTCTCTTACAAATTCCAACCTCAAACTATGAATCGCTGTTCACTTCCATTTCATATGACGAATACAACTAACAAACTAGACTACCCAACACAAGACTCTTTGAATCAGTAAATATCACTGTATCAGTGAGATTATCAATATTCAAAGATGTTTTTTCTAAATTTAGAATAAATTGAGATTCAATGCCAAATGATTTTAAACAGTATTTAATTGTTTAATGGGATTATTTACTTATTTATGCTTGTTACCCCTCGTTGAAGAGTATAGACCGCCCACGTTTAATGGGATAGTTTCTAAGTTACCAGTATTCTTTGCCTACAAAATTAGAATCCCACAAAAAAAATTGGGATAAGTGAATTTTTAATGTATATCAAAATTGCATTTAGTTTCATTTCATGACTAAATGTGATTTAAATTAAAGGTTGATTGTAAATGGGAAGAATATTTTCGCATATAAATAGATTTGAAAGAAGTTTTCTAGAGAGTTTATTTAAACATTGATACTGATCAATTCACTCATTCCACTAATCAGAGTACATTTAACAAACGAAAGTAGTTCTATCGGTTAAGGGCTCTGGCTCGAGACTGGTATGTCCTGGGTTCGAATCTCGCGAGTGCGGGATCGTGGATGCGCACTGATTGGGGTGTGGCCCCCTAAGGAAACCATCTGCTTCAGTCTGGGCACCTGGGCAGTATCACAGCCTTCACACAAATCAAATGAGATTTGTGAGGCGCATATTTATTTGGTGCTTCCTTGTACCAATATTTATGTGTTTAAATAATAATAAATAATAAATGAATCAATTGAAGCTAAACCATCATGGAAAACCTGGAAGTACTGGATGGCCGTTTCGTCCCATTATGGGACTCCTCAGAAGTGAGCATCCACGATTCCGCCTCGCGAGCGAGATTCGAACCTAGGACCATGGTGGTCTAGCTTCAATTGACTAATGATCTAAAATCTCCACAGAACCCCCTTCTGAAAGTAGTTCTAACCAACAGATATGTATTGGTTTATTTGGTATATAACTAACAGTGGAATAATGGATCCACGTTTCGTCTTGTTTAAGTCTCATCACATGAATATGTCTGCATCCCAGTATTGATGTTTACAACCAGACTCGAATGCAATATCTTTCTCTTCAGATACCAATGCGTTGATCATTGAGCAAATAAGTTCAGACAGCTACCAATTTTCTCATTTGATTTGAGGTTATTAGGAAGGGTTATAAACACATCCATCTGATGAGTCCCAAACAAGGCGAATGTTAATCCTGAATTCCGCTACAGACCACACACAAAATTTAATGAAGGTTTTGACATAAAGCTATATCAAGGCAACCTAATCAAGATATATATGTGGCAATAAACGCTTGCAAGTAACAGTTGCGTATATCAGCATTCGGAAATTACAAACTCTTATTAAAAGGTGAGTATGCTTCGACAAAGATAAATAAAGTTTTAAGTCAGATCATGAACCGATCAATCTTGAACCACCACGGAAAAGCTGTAAGCACTGGGCGGCTATTTCGTCTTAGTATGGGTTTCTTCAGCAGTGGGCACCCACGATCCTGCAAGTGGGATCCTGGGTCTATCTCGAACACTTAACCTATAGACCACTGAGTTTACATCAATCAGTCCGGAATAGGAATCACTAATATGAAGGAAATCATCGCTATCTCTATTCTATTTCCAAAAAAATGCTAAAATTATAAGTAGCATACATTTATCACTTAGCTGTCATACAACAATAATAATAAACCCATATCACACACACATTTCAACTTTTTTTTTCATATCCATATTTTAAAGGCTTGCAATTGTAAATATACAAAATCGACAACGCTCGAATTCCCCCAGACGTTTTACTCATCTCGGTGGTTTTGTCAATCGAGCGGCTGCTGATCGAGGAAGTATTGAACGCAGTCGGTTATATGCTGCTGTACAAAATATTCAACCGGATTCAGAGAAACGACTACAAGCAATCAGAGTAATATATATATATATATATGAATTTCGTTATGTTTGTTAACACTGAGTTGGTCAATCCTATTTCTCTAAATTACTTAAGTTAAGTTCATTTTCGACATTATAAACAGGTGGATGTGAATATGGATTACTTCGTGACTACCATTTTATTCCGTTATCGATCATACAAATCAGTCAGTTAGTCATTTTAGTCATGAGCAACGTAGGACTTGGCATATATGTGCATTAGTTGAAGTCGTTAAATCACTCTAGTACAACAAGACAAATAATTCGTGTGTAGTAGAAGTAGTAACAATATCAGTGGAAATCGAAAACATTAGGCATAGTTAATATGATTTGAAAAGACATGGATTTTCGGAATAGAAAAGTACAAGATAATTTGGTTTGTTTGCCCCCAGTTCTTTTCATACGCACTTCTATATCAGCCGATATCGTCTGTCAAAGTACGCTGTTTCTAGGCATGTGTAACACATGTCTTATGCGCTTTAGCCTGTGCAGATTCTCTAGTTTATGGACCAGTCCATCTTGAACTTTTTATTTAGCACCACCTCTGGTTACATATTGATCGCATCATACTCAAACAAAACTAATCGCACGTTTAGTGGTAAAAAAAAATAATAGTTTCAGTAAATTATTTTGTAAGTCGACGAGAATTTTTACCGTCTAATATTTTCAACGATTTCTATTTCCTGGAATCTCGTCGGTTGAGATTTTGTCTATCGGCCTCATGATTAGGATCTCAATTAAGATACCTCAGTTATTCCAGTATTTACGCAGTCATCTAAAAATCTGGAACTTACATTTCATATTAGTTGGCGCTCGTCAGAAGAGCATATCCGTAACTCCGAGGAAACTGCTGCACTTCGTGGGATTTAAACTCATACTATCCAGTAAACTATTCTCATCGCAAACTGATCTTCTTTAGGATTGAGATGCATACACTATTTGATCCCCGGTAGTTAACGAGGTTTGTTTATCTAGAAATCAATGCCAGTCAGAACCCATTGAACAAGTTTCACTGTGTTGATCGATAAACCTTAAAATGACTGATAATAAAATAATTGATTAAGATGTCAGTATAAATAATTTGCTTACTGATCTATGCCTTCAATCTTAGCTGAATATTTATCATCATCTTTTAATGGACATACACTTATTTGACAGTTCTTTTAATGTTAGATACTTGTCCTAGATCATTCAATCGGAATGAGTATATTTTCATCAAGAAATATAGGCGCGTTTTAAAGAAGCTGACATGAAATGAACATTTAATCGTTACACTTTCAACCAAGATAGCTCTGTGATTGTCTTTTTGAAATTTTCATCTTCTTCATCTTCATTGAAAGAAGTTATCTGTTACAATACATGTTTTTATTTATGAGAGAAATCTCCTTGACGAGTGATTGAAATGAATTTCACTATTTGGAATATAAAATGACAACTATCTTTAAAACAATCATTCATAGATAGTCTTCTACAATTGTGAAGGTTTTATACTAGTTTTATTCTGATATCATTCTCATCATGTTATAAGGTATAACTTAACTGTTCTATCTCTGGGTATATATATGGATAAATTCATGTTTTGCATGAAGATAGACAAATAGAATGTTGTGAGAAAAGCGGATAGTTTTTCATCTGACCTTCTTCCTTCTGATATGAGTTGAAGGAGATACGTTTCATTTGACCATCATTCACATTCATAACTTGTTACATTGGTGAGACTATAATTTATGGACGACCTTTGAACGAATCTTAAGTGACCTGGAGAAATGTTAGCTAATCAGTAAACAGTCAGCATAGAGTAAACATATATTATTATATATTATATTATTAGAAAAAGGTTCAAATGTTCCAAAATCGTAATGCATAGGGTAGAGGAACTCATTCATATGGCTCCATAATAGTTGGTCCCTGGAACCATGATAAGGTCACAAAAACCCTCTCAGCCTCGACCACATAGCCTCATTATTGTTTGTGTGTACTCCGGTTGTGTAAGTTTATCACTTTTATTTTGGATATGTCCCTACAATACTCATACCACTGAACAGACGAAGCTTCATTAACATCTGCGAATATTTCGGCCAATGCCACTGGTGCTTTTATTATTCAGTTGGTGGCAATTATTATAATTTGCCTTAGTCTCAATTTGGATCGATCGATAAAGGTTCCTATCATAGCAAACGTCTTCCTTCAACATATATTACATCGAAGGACAACATCACGGTAGTCTGCACAAGGTCTACAAGTTATTTAATACTCTTAATTACAAATACAGGAACTTCTTAGTAGTCTCATTTGTAGTAGCCGCTTAATTGTCAAGACTTCTCTAAAATCCTCTGTGAACCGACCGTACATGAGCATCAGGTACTGAAATTGGCGCCGTGACCTTGAAATCTCTCAAACGCCTCTGATTGGCTCGTCCATAAATTATAGTCTCGCCGTTACATTCTTCATGTTTCATATGGCTAGAATATACCTTAACAATAATCTAACTATTAAATAAATCAAATTTTTCATCTAAGAATCTACTGAACTTTTCTACAGTGTTAGATATTAATCTGTAATCTTTTTTTTGTATTTTAGAAGCAAGAAATGCTGGCTATCCAAAAAAGACGAGTATTCTCCAATGAAAATCTTTCTACTAATACGCTATTATTCACAACGCTTGAAGGACAAAAATCTTTACAAAATAAAAATATTATACCTCCAGTTTTAGAATCAGATAAAAGTTTATTAACATCAAAAGAATTGAAAACATCTACTACATCCACTAATACAATGGATAATAAAGATGAAAAACGTGCACCATTAGCTGCTTATTCAGATGATTCACTTAGTTCTACAAATACTACAAGTACAATAGATTCATCAAATAATAATGAATTAATTAAAATACATCAATCATCTAAAGGTTTTAATCCGGATACAATTACATCAATGATGGATGAAAGTAGTGATAGTACATTAGAAAATGTTCAATCAATAATAATGCCAACAAGTATTCTTAAAAGTTCTACTACTAATTCATTGCCTAATTCAAATTCTCCAAAACAGCGTAATCGTTTAAGTAGTCGTGGATCACGTGGTGTTATGTTTAATACAACAGTTACTGTAGATGATGGTTCTGAAGTAGTTCGTTTAAATTGTACATTAGATGATTCTGAATTGAGTAAAAATAAAGTACCACCAACTGATCGATCAAATTCATCACCATTGAGTAGAATTGGTGGGATGTCAGATAGATTTTCTCGTTCAAAATCACCACATGTTAGTAAAATTGCTACACCTAAGTCAGGACTGTCAACATCTAGTGTAAAAAGTTCTACAACACCAAATAATAATTCATCGGAACCAATGTTTACTTCACAAGTTAAAGGTAATCCAATTAAATCTCTTAATTTACTAAATTAAATTACAGGAGAAACAAAGTCAGATACAAGTTTAAGCAATTTGGATTTCCCACAAACAAGTGAGTTTGGTTATAATGCACCTACACCACCGCCCAGACGAAGCAGTCAGGTTACGACTACAACAGCAAATACAGATGAAGATAATACATTGAAATCTACAACTTATTCCAGTAGACAAGATAGCGATAAGATTGAAACAGTCGTAAGTTTTACTTATGGAATTTAGGTAGGTTTAATTAAAATATTCTGAATTTGACGGTCTAGGTCTGGAAGTATATATATATATATAATTCCTCAGGAATAAGGAGAGAGAGAAAGACGATAAGTCATTAATTGTGTGATGTTCAGTCTTTGATAAGTTTAAGTCCAACCTAGACGTACTTTGTATGTTTGGAGGGAATAATGAACAAATCCATGTCTGTGAGAGAATCTAGAATTGAGAAAAAATAGAAGCATAAGTGAATCAGTGGCTTATTAAACAATATGAGATTCACATATGTACAGCAATAGAAGCTATGAAAATCAATAAATAATGACATTAACGTCAGATTAAGACAAATCTGATAATTAAAATTTACAGTTGATGGAGTAAGATTTTTAAGTACGTTACATCTACAACTTGTTTTTTCGACCATATGATGATTAAAAACATTCGTCAATGTTTGATTCAAATACCAAAAACTCAATTCACATGATTGTTTTTGGATCTTTAAAACATACATAGCAGAGCACTTTCTTCTATGTAGCCTATATGCTCAACATTTGTTCATTTTATTTATTTAAACACATAAATATTGGTACAAAGAGGCACCAGATACATATGCGCCACACAAATTTCATTTGATTTGTGTGAGGGCTGTGATGCTGTCCGGGTGGCCAAACCGAAGCAGGTGGTTTTCTTAGGGGGCTACACCCCGAGCCTTCGACCTAAAGATCTGATCCACAAGGCAGTGGAGCATCGTGAGGAGATGCAGTCCGATGATAGCCGATGACCAACGATTGATTGATACACCATTTGTTCCCTCAGGATACTGGAGCCAGCTCATGTGCGTGATTAGTTTGGAATGAGGGTTTTCCAACTCCCCTAGGTGGACTCTCAATGTCCACCAACCCGGTTAAAGCGCCGGACATTTGCTTTTCGTTCTCTCAATTTCTTTAACAACAGTAATGCCACGAGAAGGCAATGAGTAGGACTTCCCTGGTAGAGGCTATATACGCTTGGCGATATGAGTGCATTTCGAGAGGGTATAAAATATGAAAGAGGTTTTAAACGATTCAAAGATTTAATTATAGCTTGTCCACATCTTCCATTTCCATGAAATACATTTCTCTCGGATTTAAAAATGATTCAAAGTACGAGAAAGCTTGGTTAGCATAGACAGATGGGCATACTTTGTCAATATAACAGTTATAAATGATTATATCTTAATTTCTCAACAGATCCAATGATTAGGATTTATGCTCGTTGGATTGTAGTCAACAACTAAACAACTACTTTTTAAATTTATGAATAATTACCTAACTAAATCATATGGCTGATCTCACTGAATTAATTTTTGATTAAATCAGAAGCCTAAACCCTACATAATAATCTACTTTTTCGATCGATTCCATTTTCGTATATTGCAAATTTACTTACAGTTCATTTGTTTTATAAAGAAGGTAACTTTTTTATTGCAATCATGAACCAGTTGATGTTAGACTACCATTGAAAATCTGGAAGCACTGAACGCCCGTTTCGCCCTAATGTGGGACTCCTCAGAAGTGCGCATACCCGCTCGGGAGGTTTGAACCCAGGGCCTTCGATCTCACTCGCGAACGCTAAACCCCTAGACCACTGAGCCGACATCCAACAATGTTAATGTCTAACCTTAACCAATTCACGAAATTGCGTGACTATGATCTCAATCAAAAACATCATAATCTCCATAACCCTATACTGATAACTTTTTAAAAAAATGATTTTCTGATGTTCATATTTCTCGTTAAATCATCAATATGGAGTTAAAATAATTTCTTTTTTTTTTATTTTAGTCTTCAATGTCCAATAAACGACAACTTCCACTTCCTACAAATAATGAAGTTAATGAAAATGTAACAAGTCCATGTGAATGATCCATGTGAATATTCTTACATAATCCTTACTTTATTGTTCTTTTGTTTTCTCTGTTAAATCAATGATGATCTTGATTATCGAAACAAGTAATCAATGGTGATATATATATATATATGTTACTGTCCATCTCAAATGATAAATATTGAATAAAGGAACATTCTTTTATAAGTTTATTTCATGAGCTTTTTGTGTTTCAAAATAACTATTGATCAATCAATGCTCAATAATTAATTCATTACACATTAATGTATAACTCACATTTGAAATATCTTATCTCGTTTCCTTGGTTTTTTTTAGTGATTGTTCAGTACAGTTTTATTTTTTTCTTTAATTGCTATTCATTTTCCCGATTCCTCTCTCTCTCTCTCTCTTTGAACTTTATCTTTTACTTGTACTCCTACCTCGCAAAGTGAATACTGTGCAAATAAACAAAAGAAAACAAACAAACAACCAACAACAACACCATAAACACTGATGTGAAACAGGAGTTGTGATATAAGTATAGTAATAGAGTATCCGTATCCAAATGAACTATAGTTCTTATTCTTATTACAGAATACATATGAATCAATATGAAGTAAAGTTTAAAGTATAATCAGCTTATTTTCTAATGATCTCAACTTAAAGTTTAACTAGTCTCGGTTTATTGTTTCTTATATGTTTTCTCATTGTGTTTGCTTGTTTATCTGTTTATTTATTTATTTATTTTTTGTCTTTATCATTAATCAATTTAGATAATCATTTTGTTTATCTAAACAATTTTTATACATTTACTGCTGATTTTCTTTACAAAATTGACCATATTTTTCTTTTTATGATAAATAATGATCAGCTGATAATATTATGTAATCATATGTTTTGATTGATTTTTAAAGGTATAAGTGAGTGTGTGTGTATGTATGAGTGAATGAAATGGATCAAATGAAAAACTCGTTTTATTCAATATTTCAGTCATTTTTCATTACTCGTAATGAGTTATGTAAGATTTCAATAAGTATTTTTGTCCAATTTCTTCTTTTGTTTGATGTATTTCGGTTTTTTTTCTTTTCTTTTGATTATTCTAGTGTATTTATTCGTGTACATGTTAATAACTATGATGATAGGATAAAATAAATATTTGGGAATTAAACTTAGTTTATTACATTGAACATGTTGAAGCGCATCTTTGGTCAGCTCGACGGTAGATCTGTACACTTAACCTTAAATAGTTTTATTCAACCCCATTTAAACTATAAAATACATTGGAATGTGTCCAGTGGCGATCCACGAAATCAGTTCGGTGACTCATACTCAAACCTTATGAAGAGCGCCTCAAGTCACAGAATTTTAGCCCGCTAGAGTACAGTCATCTTAGAGACGACCCTCTAATGACTCACAGTATCATAAGCCCTTCCAGACATCCTCCTATGTACCTACTTAAGCTCAGTCATAACAGAAATCTTAGTGGTAACGCAAAGGATCTCGAGACGTAACATAGAAGAACGGACTGTGGGCACACCTTCTACGCCTTACGAGTAGTCAAATGCTGGAATTTGCTGTTGACTGAGGGTAGACTAAGTGACTTCTCGGAAGATTTTTAAAAGGGAACTTTACATATTCTTAAGGACTACGGACACCATGGTTTACTAATATTCTTTCTTTTGACCCTGATTCTGAATCATCCATGCTAGATCTCATGTTTACCCATTATGAGGTTGACGTCATGAACATCGATCACATGCCTTCCCCAAGGTAAAAGAGATCAGGCAGTTCTAACCTTTCACTTCAATATAGTTGCCAATAACAAGCACACATGACCTGGGGTCTGAAAAGCAAATATGCAGGATATCACGCTCACAAAATCGTCAGTAGATTGGACAACAGAGCCAGAGTCCCCGATTGAAACAGTTTGGGATGTACTTCGAAATCTATACTTGAAGTTACTGCACCCAAAATCCCTTGGACCACAACAAGGGGACCAAGAAACCTTCCACTATGGTTCAGTAGGGAAGCTCGCACTCTCCTCAGCAAGAGGAGAAGAATGTGGGACATATTCAAGTTACTGGGGACCGATGAAACAAAATCTCAATATCCAGAAACTCGGAATACCTGTGCCTCGACCCTCTGTAAGTCTAAAAGGTTGTACGAAGACAACATTGTAAAGGAATCTATAGAATGTCCTAAACGCTTGTATTCGTATATTAACTGATGGACAAAAAAGGGGGAAGTGTTTTAGGATAGGTTATTCTTGTCTCACTAACTTATTAGTGGCTCGTGAATACTGGTGCGCCCTTGAAAACCGGTTTTGTTATATTCTGACAATTTCAAGATATAGAGAGCGATAAGAAGTAAGGGTGATAGCTTAGAACTTCAGAATGACCTGAAGAAACTATCCGAATGGTCGCAAACCTCGCAGTTGCCGACAGATGCTTCCAAGTATATTTTGATGCATATTGATCACCAAGGTACAGATGCATAAATGATGAATAACACTGTTCTACATGTTGTCCAGACACCCAATGACTTAGGATTCATCGTTAGCCAAGACTCAAAGATTATTGCACACTGTCGTGCAATAGCCGCCGAAGGTTTTAGAACCCCATGGTCAATACGCAGGGCCTCGAGTCATACCGACGTTAAAACTTTTCCAGCTTTGTATTCAGTGTTCGTGTATAGTCAACTTGAGTACTGCATACAAGCGGCTATACCCTGCTCGAAAAAACAGTGAGCTTTTGAAAAAGGTTCAGAGAACGGCAACTAAGCTGATTCCGTGAATAGCGAAGCTCCCGTATGTTGTTCGATTGAATAAACTAAACCTATTCCCATTGACATATCGAAAAACAATAGGTGACTTAATTATAATCTTCAAATTACTTATTGATAAATTTGAGCATGATATGCCCTCATTTTTCTCGTCTTCCGAAACAGAAAATCTACGAGGACACTCCAAAAACGTTCACAAGTCCAGAACAAATCACTTGCCAGCTGACTACCGACTTTCCCACCGAATCATCAACGAGTGAACTTGATCGCCTAGGCACGTTTTTAAGGCTCTATCTGTCTACTCTTTCAAAAGAAAGTTGGATCAACTGAAAGACGATCAGTGCCAGGACTAACACAGACCATCAAGCCTCCTGTCCTTTCCAAACTGAAACTGAATATACTGAGGTTTCTGGCTGGCGGAATCGATGATCCACTACTACTTGATACGAAAGCCCGTTAAGCGAAAGTTTCTTCTTTTCCGTCCAGGACCATATGAAATCATCTGGTAGATACTGGATATATTGGATTTCGGATAAGAAGTTTAAGCGGCTTATTTGAACATAAGTTCATCCGCATGTTTGGTTTGGATGTTGTTGTCTTTTCTAATATAGTATCCTGCCTTTCACAAATGGATATAAAACGTTATTCATAAAAAACAAAATCTCATGATAAAAGGGGGTGTTTCACCCTATTGGTTGGACATAATACACTTTCCAGCGCTAAAATGTCTTGTTTCACGAAAAAGCTTGAAGTGTGTACTTTTATCTGCTGCTGTTGGTGGTGCAGTCTTTAGTGCTTTGTACTATTGGCTCAAGTCCAGGAGCTCTTCGAAAACTTCTACTCTCCGTTCAGAAGTTGTTGGTGATTTGGATGATCTCGATACACTTGTAAATGTTGCCGATTACTACTCTCAAACAAAACTATCAAGTAATCGAAGCGCCAGATCTGTTTTATCTAGAACTTCAAATCTCAGCGAAAATCACCTGACGCTGTCAAGGTCAAGAAAATCTTCACTTCCATTTACGACTAACGATTCCGATGTAGATGGCTCATGTTCGGGATTAGATTATAGAAAATTAGGTCTCCATGCTTTAGCCGGAGTCGTCGAACATCTAGAATCTCTTATGTCCAAGGTTAAAATTCTCGAGGACAAAGGATTATCAGCCCCATCATCAAACTCAGAGCATTTGATCAATGACCTGCGTATTCTTTTGGAACATGCTTATCGTTTGCGTGAACAGTACAAGCAGCAGTTGGTTCACGACGATAGTTATCCACAGGAATCAATGGGGTCTTCAACGACTTCCCAGGAAGATACCTCCTCATTTTTCTCGGCTTCTGAACAACTAGACTTAACAGAGCTAGAACTTTTAATGCAGTTTAACGTTCGTAGGCCTCTTTATTACAATGCTTTGAAGTTGTTAAACGAAGGTGAAGTTCCATATCGGTGAGTTCTTGAAGTTTTAATTGTATAGATATATTGGTTGTGCAACAGTTGTTAGTCACTTATAAAAGTTCACCGTAATCTTTTATACGTCAAGTAAAACTTTCTTAGACATGAATGTATCTATTAATGATTTTTTTGGTCTCCGCAATGTTTATGTGCAAACTTACTGTGAAATTAACAAATAAAATTACTGACTTGTTATAATTCTTTTGCTAATAAACGACCCAGCTACTCCTATTGCTTGACTAAAAATTCGACTCATGTAAATGAAATTACTGACATTTGCAAACAATTTATACGAAACGACAGTGCACATATTTCAGTGCGTTAGTGATGACATGATTTGTCAATTTTCGTTCGAAAAAAAGAAGAGATGAATTATTTGGCTTTATTTCAGACATTGTTCGCATTGGTAGTAACCGCGCTGTGGCTCTATCATCGCACCGTATCGTTTTCGACTTGTTCTAAGACCATATTCCCATCACTATTAGTTTAAAGTCGACATGAAAGTATTTATTGCTATGCTGTTTCTAAGTCGAAATTTTTCGTGATTTAGCCACACCGGGGTTCTACAGACGTAAAAGATCCCCGCACTTCGTTTTCGCATCCCTAATCAGCGGTATACAAGCAGCGTTTATCTCCATGAACATGGTGCTTCCATATCTCTGTCGTAAATAACCACCTGACTTCTCTGTACACAAAATGTTGGCTTGAACTAAGGGTTATTTATAATACTTCGTCTGGGTAAATGATGGATTTTAACTAGGTCCAACTGTGGGTCACTTTTACAGATGAGCTGGTTACTGAACTCTCAACCAATGTAAGTTATACATTAATGTTCATACCGCTGGTTGCTCATATGTGTCTTCATTTACACAAATGGTTTATTTGGAGTTACTTTATTAACTCCCAATGTTTCTGACAATGTGCTACGAAGCGATATATGTTTTGCTTTTAATCTAAGTAGAGCGTAGTTTCTAAGTAGGTAGTGACTGGGTATCCAAGCGACTAATTCGACATAATTTGGTTGATATAGGTCCACAACATCCTCGCTCCTTTGAATCGTACCTATAATCCTAAAATCACCGACTCAGTTGTCCTACTACTTTCAAAAGATTTTGCTAAAACATCCAAGAATGTTTTTTTAAGCTTTCCGGGTTTTTCAGCTTCAACTATCTCTTCTCTCAATGCTATAGTATGCCTTTTTGCGAGGTGTTGGTATTTGGTCGTTTCTGACATCAGTATTGAAGGTTAAACTTCTCCTCAGACCTAATCGGTCTCTAATTTTGCTGCAGATTCAGTTCTTATCTGCGGACTCGCACTAGAGTAATGACAGGTAGACGAAATAGCTTGTCAGATTGACTTATTTATCTTCCATACTCACACACTTGTCATGCCCAAAAAAGATCCAAAAGATTAGCGTTTCGTATGGTTTTTATTCAGAATAGATTTTGCCTATATTGTTTAGCTGAAACGGCTAATGAGTTTCCTAAATCACTGAGCCCAAGTAGAAGCAATATCTAATGTGAAGACTGATAATATTGTTTTTAAGAATACCGTTTAAATTGAAGTGATATAGCATGTCGGTTTGATGGTGATCCCAGAGCAAGTATAATTAAAATCAACAGTATGACTCCATCTTTCAGGTTTAGATGACAACAGCCACTATTCTCGAAAAAAATTCAGATTCATGGAATAGAATGTTGGTTTTCATATATTTTGACCTACGCTTCTCTTTAGATGCTTAGTTCTCAATAGGTAACTCTACACCAGAAATCGATGTGTCCTAGCTATTCGCTCAATAGTATTCGTTGGGGATTAGTGATTAAATTACCCGATTTTCAGTAGTTTTTGGTCCAAACCCTACTCCAGATTTCTGACTTTGGCTAAGAAATTTGATTAATTGAATTTTTTCTCATTCAACTGTTTTTTTGTCCCAATACGATCTCAAGTTATTCTTCGAGTTCCTATCATGTTGTTTTTGGTTAGCCTTACCTGCTTAATTAATCAGGTAGAACATTCAAGTTGTTATGTCAAGATAATAGTTTTGAGTCTAACTGACCGTATTTGCACCTTCGAATTTTAACTATTACGCAGATAAGTATGGTTCAGTTTCTGCTACAGTTTACTTGGTCATATGGATAGGTTACTCACAATAATTGTTAACCCACTAAACTCCGTATCTGTAGTCGTAAAATCGATGTGCTTTTCTTTTCTATCTATCTACTGCCTGTTATAATTCATAGGATACCATAGTTCATTTTTACCAAGAGCTTCTTGTTTCTTGATTTAATTGTATATCCAATATCATAAATTTTCGAGTTCTTGCTTTTTCCAGCTCTCTTCGAACACAATTCGTGGGGTGTGAACTTGACATTGAATATCTGGGCAAGGTCCATTGCCTTCGTCAAGCATTTGATTATATTTTCGACTGTCATGAACCAACTGTTTGGTTTATCGAGGTTGGGAAACGTAATGTTTGTCGTTTACTGTATTGCCTTGGGTATCCCTTGACGGATTTTGAAGGGAATTATGAGTAAGTGTGATTTTTGCAGTACTAGATGTCAGACACCTACCTCTACTTTTTCGCTTTTGTAATTGAAAATCTTAACATTTTGTAGACACTTAATAGTAGGTCTTTAAAATGGTGTAATGCTCTTATCCGTGTGATTGCTTTTATAAGAAAATTAAACTCTAGTCGTCCTCAGTTGTCACAGGACTCGGGTATTCCTGTTTTTACTGAATCAGTAAAGTAGTTTATTCAGCATGTAATCAGTCATCTGCAACGTAGAACTGGACACATGTACGTCAACTCGAGTTGCCATACCACAGCACAGTGAGATAAAATTATTAAGACATCCCAGTGTAGTAGAAGTAGTAACATTATCAGTGCTAGGCAAAGCGATTAGGTGTAGAACAACAAGGAAACCAAAAGGTATAAGTAAATTTTGGGATCAAGGGATTAATGGGCAATTCTGGACCATTTTACTCAACATCTCTAATCATTAGTTACTAGAGTCGTCATTAGTCACTGCATTCGCGTGACGGGGGTGTTGTTTGCGAAATTGAGAGGGTGAAAATCGAATGTCCAGCGCTTTAACCGGGTTGGTGGACACACATGATCCTCCTAAAGGAATTGGAAAGTGATAGTTCATTTGATCAAACACTTATTTTTGACCTCACGGTCGTCACTACAACTTTGAGTCAGGCATCCTAGATACTAAAGGCTTTATCACACTAGATAAATTTACTAAAACAATAGATATTTTTGACTAAAAGTCTTGAGCTGGGGTTGTACGCAAAATGCTCCAAAGTCACTGTGATGCAAGAAATTTGGGAGCTCACTTAAATAATAGAAATTTATTATTTTTATCACTTTTGTAATCTTCAGGAATAAGAAGGTAAGGTATTTTATCGTGTGAGTTTGGGATCATAATTGAATAGAGTATAATAGAGAATTAACTTCCCTGCTATCTTCGTCTTCTGATTAGACACTGTGTTTGAAGGATCTCAAGGTCCAATTGGCGTTAAGGTCTCATTCGTTGTGCATTGGTGAAATATGCTATCGGTGCTATAGGCAATATAGAAGAACTAATCAATAATTAGATTAGATAATATTACTGCTTTTTAATCACGGGGGCTCTAGTACAGTTTCAGGCGTCCATTCTTCTAAAGACAACACTTTGTGTGTATATTGTCTTATGTAGTTGGTGATAGTAAGTTGTTTTTTGTTTTATTGATATAAATCTGTAAGTTTATTTTCACCAAAGGCTGAAATCATTTGGAAAACCCATTAGCAACAACTGACGAACAGTGGACGGGCATTTTGTTCTAGTTTTAGAGGGGATGCTCACAACCCTATACATGATGGAACTCTACTTTCACGTCTCATAACGAGGTGTGTCTTCGAATCATTGTTATTCATTGACATATTTAAAAATTCAATCAATTTCTCGTATAACGCTATCCCCTATTGATATTTATGTAGGCTTTTTTTCCAAATGGATGTTTTCTAAGTATACTTTACATTAAAAAAACACTATTTATTTTCCTTTCAGCCACCTTATGGAATTCATTATTTCTCAAAAAAATAAATCAAACAACATGATGGCCGAGGAACTATTCGCTAAAGGTGTAAAAATAGTCAATTTTTATGATATCGTCATTGATCTAATGCTTCTAGAAGCTTTTGAATTATTAGCTAATCCACCTAGTTCTGTATTATCTGTCACTAGACATAAATGGTTAAGTGATAATTTTAAACGTTGCGCTCTTGATTCAACTGTTTGGACTATTCTATTAGCTAAACGAAAATTATTAAAATATCCAGATGGATTTTATGCACATTATTATAGTATGGTTGGTACAGTTTTGCCTGCATTAGCTTGGGGTTTTCTTGGACCAAATGAAAATTATTTTCATATATGTGATCGTTTCCGTGAAATTATTATATCATTTATTCGTGAATCATTTATATGTTATGATGCATCAACATCATCTACATTATCAAGAATCTCTTGTTCAAATGGTTTACCATTATATTTCAGTGAACATTCCATAAAACATGATACATTTGATAAAAGTATTTTCAATAATTATTCATTAGATAAAAACTTGATGAATTCTACCATCGATTCAAATGATAGTAATCATGATTATAATAATCATAACAGTGATGATAATAGCAGTGCAGGTACTACTATATCTGAATCTGGTCCTACAATAGTGTGTCAATCAGATCAATTACCACAAACAATTTCACCGAATACAATTCATCGTCAAATTGGTTTACGTTATACAACTGTAGAAGATTTAGCTAATGATTTATATAAATTAATTAATGTTTATTCTCAAGATTTATTAAACATGTTCATTGATGAACTGAAATTATCTGAAAATACGTTACCAGTTGAATTGGAATCAAATCCTGTCCAACCGATACTATGTCGTAGAGTTGAATAGCAAACAGCTGATAAATTACTTAGCAGAAATATGTTTTTAATTCCCATTTATTTCTACTGTTTTATATAAACTCTTCGTACGTTGTATGTACATATGCATTTATGAATGTATGATGGACTTCTTTTGCTCTAGTATTTATTTATTCATGTCAATTATGAAGCATTCCTAAATATAAAAGTAGATTTTTAGTTTTTCTGTAAACAAGTTTTGTTTTTTGTTCAAATATGCTTGGAAATGTGCTTTTAAATTGTTTTTTCCCTTTTTTATGGTTATTATAGATAAGTGAGTTACTTAGTTTTTTATTTGAACACATAAATCTTGGCACCAGATACATATGCACCACACAAATTTCATTTGATTTGTGTGAGGGCTGTGATACTGCCCGGGCGCCCAAACCGAAGCAGGTGGTTTTCTTAGGGGGCTACACCCCGAGCCTTCGACCTAAAGATCTGGTCCACAAGGCAGTGGAGCATTGTGAGAAGATGCAGTCCGATGATAGACGGTGACCAACGATTGATTTATACGCCATTTGTTCCCTCAGGATACTGGAGCCAGCCCATGTGCACCATTGGTTTAGAATCAGGGTTTTCCAACTCCCCTAGGTGGACTTTCCGTTTCTACCAACCCGGTTATAGCGCCGGACATTCGCTTTTCGTCCTCTCAATTTTGTAAACAACACCCCCGTCACGAGAAGGCAGTGAGTAGGACTTCCCTGGCATAGGCTATATACGCGTGGCTATGTGAAAGCATTTCGGGATGGAGAGCGAACTCTCTCCACTCTCAGCCGTACCAGGGCTTTTAGGGGCGAGTTACTTAAAAAATATAAGGACTTTTTTTAATTCATTAATTTTAGTTTTCTTATGAATCCGAAAAATTCTCTTATCAGTTACTGATAAGACATACTATTTTTCCGAATTTACATTGGTAGTTCAGAGTACGCTTTCGTCTACGTATTTCGTTGTTTCACTCGTTTGATAAAGCGATAGTTCTCATACTCCGAAAACACTTAGGTCAATTGTTTTTTTGTTTCCGTATCTCGTTAAGTGATTCGAGTCCCAAGACGGAACCACTATATCTTTCGGCAAAAGATGTATGCCGAGATTATGTATTTATCCACTGATTGGTCTCGTATATTGAAACCTACCAAGTTATTTCAAAATATCAAATCAATTTAATTATTTATGTTTAAAAAAATATTTTTACTAGTAAATTCCAACTGATGTATTATTAGTAATTTTCCTGTTGTGTCCAAGCCATATCTTTTTGTGTGATAGCTAGTAATATTAATCGGCTTTCAAACTGAAGTAAATGTAACATGTTTTGAACCTGGGACTTAATTGTTGGAAATCAAGTATTATGACCACTAATCCAATGGTCTCGTGATTTTCTCATCATTTCAATTTAGGGTTTAATTCATTCTTCTACCATAAATCACAATGTATAACATTTTTAAAAATGTTTATAATTCATGGGTGTGTTTCGTAGTTTGAAGCACTTATCAGTAAATTTAGTTTTAAAGCTGTTCCGTACTCTTGAAGCTTTGTCTACATTCACCTAAAAAGCGTTAATTAGTTAAGCTTTTCGATATTATTGAATGGAGTTTTGGTTAGAGCATTTGACTTTCACCCGCAATCATAAACTGTGGTGGTTGGGAAACCGATTTATATTTACATATACTCGGTAAATTGGTGGCTGCAATTGATTATTAGGGTTATACATCTATTCTAGTCGCGAACTATCATCCATATTCTCTATTCTTTCCATTATCTCTTCAGGTTCTTTCTTATTTGTTATTGCTAATTATCTTACAGTTTTTTCATGGATGCACCTACTCAAGCTATTCTCTCCGCTTTCTCTATTGTTCTTGGACATGGAATTGGTGATCGACAAGCTGCTGAACAAAGTTTGACTGCATTGGAAGTTCTCGAAGGTCAGTTCAGTTTAATGTTGCTATTTTATTTTGTAGCACTTAGTGAATCTTTTTTAATCACTACTCGTCTGGACTGTAGTTATTTCAAAGTACCACTAATTGTTGGGTATTTACTTTTCCGTTAAAAAAGAGTTTTGATTAGTCGACAGATCACTTATTTTGAAATCATTTCGTTACTTTTGCTAACATGAGTTGCCCGCAAATGCCCTGGTACGGTCGAGGTTGGGGAGAGGCTGCTCTCCCTTTCGAAATACTCTCACATGGCCACGCCTATACAACCACCACCAGGGAAGTCCCACTCACTACCTCTTGGCGGAGGTGTTGTTTACGAAATTGATAGAACGAACATCGAATGTCCGACGCTTTAACCAGGTCGGTGGATATAGGGGATCCAACTAAGGGGTTTGGTGCTTTTTTGTACCAATGTTTATGTGTTTAGATAAATAAATTAATATAAGTAGGAGTTAGAGTATGATTTCACTTCTCGTGAATGTGACGATGATAGATTAAATAGGATACTACGCTTATTTTTGTAATTAATGATGTAGGTACATTGACGGACTTCTTTTTGTTTGCTTTCTTTTAATGTTTAATCTTATAGAGGAAGTTTTGGGGAAATTTTTTGAAGACACAGCAGGTCATGTACCTAATGAAGGATACTTCGGAGTGGCAAATGATTTATAAAATCAACTTGCAAATCACTTAACTTTCACTCTTACTATTACTATTACTATCAACAGTTAGTAAACTTGTTCAAATTTCTTCCATCCTTGATGAATTCTAAACTCTTAGTAGCTGGAACACGATGTAAATCGTGTCGGTTCAAATTGAAGTCTCAAGTTTTTTTTTACAGCAAATGATATGTATAGGATATGTTTGAAGAGATTATGAGTTCACCTAATCTAAGAACGAGACGAAGACTCAGTAACACAATGACCAAATAAGTTCTCTATTCCGATGCGTCTTAGCTTCACTAACTAGAAAGAGAAGTTCAGGTTCAGGAGACGGAAATGTATTACACAAGCAGCCAGAAGCACGAACAATAATAACAAGCACAACTCAAGCGTATATATACAGCATAAAAATGTCCTTGGGAAAAGTTACCGAAACGCATATTAAAAGAGACAACGAATCAATAACATTTAAGGTTCTCCCAAGTGAGAAGTATGATATGAAGGTAAAAATGGGCGCTTTTGGTGCGAAAACAAGGAATTTAAATTTTCAAAATAAAATTACAAAAACAAGACATTTACCGAGTTCTGGAAATCTAACATCCCCAATAATATATTACCTAATTACTTACTCCTGGTACCCCTCGTGGATGAGCATAGGCTTCCCACCAGCGTTCTCCAGCCAATTCTGTCCTAGGCAATCCTTTCAAATTGCTGTTCATCCTTTTCATATCTGCTTTGAAATCGACGGGCCGGACTCCGTAAAAGGCGGACGTGCACAGATCAAATTGCGACACTACGAATCATTGTTGAGCAATCAATTGAATGGAACTCGCCACCATACATCAACTTTCTTCACTTTGAGAAAGCGCTTGACAGCGTGGACAGAATATTATGGAAACTTCTTCGGCATTATGGTATACATGGGGAGATCGCCAATATCATACGGAATTCACACTCCGGACTACAGTGCAAAGTGGTGCATGGAGGACAACTGACAGACGCATTCCATGTGAGGACCAGAGTCAGATAAGGCTGGTTATTCTCGCCCTTTCTCTTTCTTCTGGTGGTTGACTGGATTATGAAGACCTTCACATCTCAAGGTAAGCACAGAATACAATGGACAACTTGTATGTAACTACACGATTTGGACTTCGTAAATGACCTGGCTATTCTATCCCATGCAGGTAAAGACAACGAGTGTAACAGAAGTCTTTGCACCAATAGGCCTCAAGATACACAAGGGGAAAAGTAAGATACTCAAATACAACTGTGAGAGAGAACAAACCAACTTCCAGCTGACGGGGAAATTAGGAAAAGACGTTGGAAGTGGATAGGACATACATTAGGGAAATCATCCAACTGCATCACGAGGTAATTGCTAATCCTGAAGGGGAACGAAAAAGTGGAAAGCCAAATGACACACCGCGTCGAAAATCGTAAGCGGACATAAAAAGGATGATTAGCATTTGGAAAGGATTGCCTAGGACAGAGTTGGCTGGAGAACGCTGGTGGGCTACCTATGCTCATCCACGAGGGGTAATAGGTGTAGGTAAGTAAGTTTCGCTAAACTATTAGCATAATCCGGGTTTATGTTTATGTGCATTGGTAACTTGATTATCAAGGAATCTAGAGTAAATACAAAAATAGTGTTTATAAATCAATTATCAACAACAAATAGGTATTTCTCAGTAGCTTAATCCATGTTCTAATTAGTAATGTTTAATTATTAAATACCGCATACAGATCTTCTCTCGCCCTCAATCATTTAGGATAATCGCCATATTGGCTCTATTTATAGTAGTTCCACTTCCTCATGGATGTGTTGCACAAAACTGTTTGAAATCCTGGGGAACATTTACAGATCAGGTAGGTGCTTTTAGTGGTGTGTTCACTGAACTAGGTGGTTTGTCTGTAAAAATTTCATAGGCACTCTGAACAACGTCATCAGCGCCTGCCTCACGTAGAAGTTAACATTCATTCATTTTTATTATTGTATTTCTGTTTATTTTATAGACTACCCAATCAAAGTTGCGAATATATTTTTAAATGAGCAACTTAGTGTTGAATTACGTCAGTTGGCTGGTATTACATTAAAGAATTATATAGCTGTACACTGGAGTGAAACATCTTGTATGTCATTTAAACCACCGGAAACATGTAATAATGTGAGTTGTTAGCCTTCTGATCTCTGGTTACTTTTTGACATGGTTTATTAAGGATTTATTCATGATAATTAAGTTCATAGCTTTTTAGAGGTGTTTCCTCACTAGCAACTTAATAGTAACGTTCAATTAAAAAGAAGTTAAGTATTTCTAAGTGGAGTGCTTTAACTTGTATACTGTTTTGTTTTATTAAAGGCAAAGTCCCTTATTCGATCTGGAATGTTACAGTTGTTACCTTCACCTCATCGATCAATTCGTGTGACAGCTGCCCATACAATCACTTTGATCGCTCAACATGATTGGCCAGAAATGTGGCCAGATTTATTTAATCAACTTATTGCATTAATTCGACAACCATGTATGAATAATAATAATGATATTGTTAAGAATACAGTGCAT